TATTTCAGTGGTATATCATTTCACAGACACCTGAATTTGTTTGGTTAATAAAATCAAAAGTTAGAACTGCACTGCAAAGCGTTGTGATGGACCTTAGAAACACAGCGAACAGCAGTGGTTGCCTCATCAAACAGTTAGGATCAATTCCTCAGATGAAACAATCAGGGATTGCGGATTATTTTCCGTGTAGACAGACATCATCCTATTTCAATCAGCAAAACAGTTTTCATGTTCTTGCAATAAAAAAACCAAAATACGTGTAGTGATTTACCATAAATCACTTTAAACGGCCACCGGATGACATAGGTATCACCTTGGTGGAATTGTCCATGACTGGATGCTGAAAGTTCGGTCCGCATGAACTCAGATATATGCCAGACGCGTATTGGACCAGACTGTACACTGAATCGACGCATAATACCGTCCTCGTAACGACAACCCTCACCACCGCGACCGATAAATCGCCCTTCCAGTGTGAGCAAATACGGAGGTGGTGGTGCCTCTTCAAAGGCAGCCGCATATAGTTGATCTGCGGAACACGGTTGAATCACAATGTATGGACTTGCATCCGATGCCTAGGAATTGTGAAAGACAAAAATGCAGGAAGTTCACCTATAAATTGTCTATAAGCAAGTCGAACGAGGATGGAAACAACGAGTTCGAACGGGGGGAAATCATTCTAGCCGGTTATGGATGAGTTGGTTTGTGGTCTTTGGGTCTTTGGATGACCTGATCCACTAAGAACTACCAAAAGAGTAGTATGATTCTTTGGTTAGAAAATCAGCCAGAAATAATTCCAACAAATATGAATGAAAGTACTGTGGCAAGAATCATATCAAGTTGAGGGAACATGCGTGACGGTCTGTACATGATCACAATGTTATGCCCTACATGCTTAGATATAGTCATCGGGTCACAATTGAGCCATGTGATGTGGGCATTGGCATAAATGTTCATTTTGAGCTCATTGGAAGTATTTACATTTTCGTTTGTTTACAAACTTTTAAACGGTAATAAAATATCATTACTTGTGATGTTCACTGCAGCTGGGGTTGAAACGATTGCTAGAGCCGCAGGTAGATGCCAAGTCAGTCAGAATAACCTAAGAGTACCCGTTATCGTTCAGAAAACTATAACAAAATTCAAAATAAACTAGTGCCATAAAATCAGTGGCGTGGGATTTTCGAGTTTTATAAAACCTCATATCGTAACGTGCATGCGCTAAGGAATGAAAAGCGCTTTGAACTTCCGCCTTTCGTGTACCTAGTTCTGTATGTGAGATCGCTTGATTTCACGGACTCTAATCATAAGTGTGATTGGTGCAGATTGATTACAGCTCCTCGTTCAAGACGCAATGTACTGCGGAGTGACCGAAGATAAAAACTGCTAAATTCATTTGGTCACGACTTTATGAATCGGTGTGGCAGTAGTTTTAATTGTAATAATAACTTCTATAGGCGTAAAGCCTACAATTCAGAACCAAGTCGGGGATCATAGCCTTATTCAGCGGTTCCGTAGGTATACGATACAAATATGACCAAATCAATGCGACGGCCCACGTTGCAAAAGCTAAGATAGCCGCTTGATGCCTCAATTACATTGTCTGTGAGAGTTACGGGTAAATTTGTCAGGCTATAAAAAACTGTTTCTGTAAAGTGGTTCGTCTCAACTTTGTCAAAGATGAAGTTACGTAGTCTGCCAGAATCTATAAGAATCGCCCTTTGAAAAGGAAAGGGGTGCTGCTACTACCTAGAATACCATTCAAACACGAGATAGAAAGAACTAACTGTGACGAACGAGTCCATTGCATTAGGAACACAAGTGGATAGATATAAACCCAGTGGTAAAACAGCCACATATGTACATTCCATTGATCAATTTCATATGGTAAAGCGAAAAACAGGCATCATTTGATTTCAGCATCTTAGTGGTCTCTTTAATGTTTCATCCAATTGGGATTCAACACATAGTAACCAAAGCCACTACACGAAAGTGCATAATTCATGGTTGTACGAACTGAACTAAAACTTGTTGATCATTTACCGTTCAACGTCTAAAACAGAAACTTTGATTGAAAACAGTTTGCTTAGTTTTTCTGCTATCACAAAAATCAGATGCAGACAGCACGCCTCTTTGTGCAAATCGCGATGTTCTTTGGTTCCCTTGTTTAGGAGGGCGAGAGACGAGTGAAGAATGCGAGGCTTCTTATTTATGTTGTATTTGGCTCTTCCGTAGAATGTCTTTCAAGGACTCTATACATACTTTCTCTTGGTTCCTCGAAGTTTATCCTAATGTAGCAGTCAAAGGCGCAAAATATATGAAAAACCCGGATATAGCGTATCCATAGTGATGGATTATATTTATGTAGGATGGTCACGGGCGCTACTAAATTAGTCCGAAATCTATTACAAACAAACCAACGCCCAGCCCCTGTGGTGGGAAGTTGAGTCATTTATTATCCCTACCCAAACAGCCCCAGTGCAAGCATGGATGTGGAACCTGATAGGTCCTGTACAATTTGACGAGCAAATGGTTATGGTGTATGGGTCCAACGTAGTAGAATTCACCGGGATTGGTCACCCAAGGACTAATTTCGTCATAAGACCTCGGAACTAAACCTAGTAAGGTAGTCAGACGTGACCTTTTTCTTGTTTGCATGATGTTCTTCAACTGTTTGTGCTGTGATCAGGAACAACACAGATGATGTCACATATTTTGGGATCGAGCAGACGGGTTTCAGCCATAGGTTGTCTATTTTCATCATTAGAACATGTCAGTCGATTATGACTTATACTCACAATCCAACATTCCGTGTTTCTGTTATTATTGTTGTGGCGTTGGCACCATGCTTAATCGCAAGCTGTTGATATATATATATATATAACCAAAAGTAATTTTATCGGTAGATATTTCGAGTATTACTTAATCGAACACTCACCTATATAAGCTGTAAATCAGTGGTTATCCTTCTTGTACAGTGGGGTCTCTCAAAAACAAGAGTTAGCCGGTACACTGAGCGCGTTGTGCTAGAAGTTAGTAAACCGTAATGAAGTATCCCGTACCCCCCCCCCTGATTGTTGGTTTTGTTGGGATAAATACAAACTAAAACTAAACAAGAAAATGCAAGGTGGGCTCACTGACAGGGAAGTTCCTTTTCATTAAAACGGAGCAATTAGGTGTGATGGCATGCACACCTGCAAATTCTAGTAATCGGGGGATCAATATTGACTTCACTACTTCACTACTACGTACTTTACCGTTCCATCAGTTTCTGTGGTGATCTAGTGTCGTCAGTCAAATGTTTGAGTTCAATGACGTCCAAAAAGTAGTCAGCATTTTGGATAACATCGAATTGATCGGTGAGCTTTCAGAAGTACTATAGCGAGAAAAATACGCATGCCGATTGGTTGATACGTTCTGTTCCAATAACCTTTCTCGCACACATCATTAAACCAGTTTGCTATTTTGGCAATAAACCGACCGAGACCCCTTGATATCGGGAAACTCCGGTGACCGATCGAGAGTGCTATTGGGATTGTGATTACTCCTTTTCCAGTTTTCCCAATGATATCATAGGTTCTCAATCTTAATTACTGGTCTGGGGAAAAATTAGTTAATCTTGATAGCTTCAACGGTCGAAGTGTCGACAGATGTCATTTAGTTTACTACAATCTTGAACAGACAGTGGCAATGGAATGTGATGGGGTGTACGATCGTTATACCCCTCACTACCGTCTGTGTGTTGGTTCAAATCAATAACTTAATGGTTATATTGAGAATTGGCCTCTAAAGAACCGCATGCTCTACTCTATACAGTGATGCCAGGTGGCTCACCGAACCAGTGCTCTTGTTAGATGCAATACAGATCAGACATCAGTTTCAGTTTGTACAACTAAAAATCATGCACCATCG